GCGGTGCACGTGGGTCTTATCGGACGGTCACGCGGTGAAGCAGTAACCCAGACACGTGTCGTGTAGTGATTCGATATATCAAATAAGTCGATAGCGTATAATAACGGACGATGCGCGGCCGCGAGTTTGGCGCGCAGCCAGAAGTCGGTGCGCAGTCGTGCCGTTACATGCGCTGCTTCATAAGCTGCGTGTTCTTCTTTGGTGACGTCCTCTACGAGTGCAATCTGCGCAAAAGGCAATGGGTCTTCTTCCTCCTCTTTGGTCACTTCGGTAACGTCTTCAAAAGGCTGCAAACTGCAAGGGGATTACATAACAAGAGGTCCCCTTTCCAAGAGCGATCTCTTGCTATACACATGTCACGTACGCGGGTTTCAGACCGTGAAGTTTCACGGAGTACGGCGCGGTGGTACTGCACTGTTAGTACACTCCAACCTCGGTCCATGCATGGTACCGCCGTGTATCGTGTACACAAAGCACAAATTTCCGCCCGTCGGGACCGCACTCCTTTCGACAAAAGCAGTGCAGAATCTTCAAGAGGCACCGTGTTGGTCGCACAGAAGTTGCGTGAAACTCTGTTCAGATCCGCGATTTGCGGTGGTTTCTTGGAAGAATCCTGGCTCCGCAGAGCTACAAGTGTTCCCGGCCTGGAAACTTTTAACTTCTCGGGCCTTCTTTTACCTTCACACTTGGCAGATAGAGGTGCCCGGTCGAAAGAACCACCAGCAGCGGTAGGCCGGTCGAGCCTGCCCACCGTCGGTACAAAAGTAGGGTACCTAGGTAGCCGAATTACCAGGTACCGTATACTTGACAGGTACCGTACCGTACGATAGCTAGGGCTGCTAGGTAGGTAGGTAGTAGGTAGGTACCTACGGTACTAGGTACGGTCGGACAAATTTCTACGGTCACGGTATGAAGGCTGTTACAGTAGGTACCTAACAAGTACCGGTTGTAGTCCTGCCTAGGTACCGTAATACCGAACGTACAATCTACGGTAGGTATAAGTTTGAAAATCCGTATTAAGGTGG